GGAGCGACTTGCAGCCGCTCCCCAAGGCACCGCAGGCCCATACACCACATCCACGGCTTCTTGCAGAGCCCTCGGCCACCCCTGCAGCAGCCACAAGTCCTGTCCCTGCCTCCCAGAAACCCGCCTGCATTTCAGTCGCATTTCACACTTTTCTGAATAGGCACAATGGAAATAAAAACCTTCCAACATAAGGCTTCCTCCGTTTCTCTAATATGTTTAAAATAAGTCCAGTAGCATGCACCCCAAGATGATACAAAACACAGTTTGCTCCTCCAGATGGTACAAATAACTGTCTACTCCCCTCTTTTCTGTTCCATATAAATTATTAAACACCTGTCAGAAACCTCCTGGCACTGCAACAGTCCTCGTTTGGTCCTGCTGTAAAAGCACCGTGTCAAGATCCAAACCTCATCCAGAGGCTGAGGGAGATCCACTGATCCCTCAAATTTGGTATTTTACATCCCTGGGGAAGAGCATGATCAGACACACCTGCAAATGCTCTCCTGTCACATTTATACTATAACAGCCCAAACAAACAACCAAAAAGGCCTTAAAAGAACCCAAAGCTCTGAAATCACGACACAATACACCTGAGACTCCACAGGTGGTGGTTACCTGTGTTACCTGGCCGGCTACCATGATACCACCGGATCACCAAATGAGCAAACAAAAAAAAATAGAGCAAATACCTTTTGAGCAATAGTTTCTGCTAATACTACAAGTGAGGAAAAGACCGTCAATGCGAGCAATGTTCTCTCCTCCATTTTGGAAAGACCAGACTTTCAAATGAGAACTCGGTTTATCTTAATCAGTTAATGAGTAACTTGTACTTGAGGATATTATGTAGACTTTGAAGAGACCCAGAAACTTAATATTTACATGTTAAACATAGGTAAAACTTGGACTTGGTTAGCGTTTATTTTTCCAACAGATCTTTGCTGTTAAACATTAGAATTTTAATGTTTCATAATGCATAAAGTTAAAAAATCCTTATGTTTTCTTTTTAAACTTAGATCTCACTGTGGCACGTGAAATCCTACAGGCAGATGCACTGGTCTGTGCAACAAGCTGCATTTTTGGATGCATGAATCTCTACCGTATCCAACAGCAATAATTTGAAAGGGCACATCCTTAATGTTATCTCAAGCACTTCAGAGATTTGGAGATTGCCAAGAGATGCAACATTCACATGAGATTTTACAGCTGGTGACTTCTTCAAACCTTGGGCCTCCCTGCCCAACCAGCCCATGCGAGGTATGGAGTGGCCCTCTTGAAACATCCCTTTTTCCTCTGACAAGCCATAATCCTTGTTTGTCAAATAGCAAAGTCAGTTGTGGCTTGTCTTTAGCTAAACAGTAAAAACAAAGTAATCAGACCTTGCCTGGACTCCCTAGGGAGAGAGATGCTAAGTCGGTGCCTGTACGTACGTGTCTGTAAGTGTACAACGAAGACACAAACCACCCAAAAACCAGCGCAACAACAGCCGTGCAGGGGAGCGCATTTGGCCTCGTCCGGCCCTAACACAGCTGCCACGTATCCAGCCGGAGATTCTGCAAATTCTGCCTTTAACCCGTGTGCTCAGCGGGGCTGTTTGCACAGAAGGGTAGTGCTGGGAGAGCTCTGCACCTGAATTTACCTGGAAACTGAGTGGGATGACTCTTTTCACCTCCTATTTTATAATAAAATCTTCATCCAACAGGAACTTTGAGCAGTTCCTGTGAAGTTTTTGTTGGTCAAAGGTTGGCTTGTAGCTCTGGAAAAAGAAATTCTCTTGAAAGTCCAATTTTATACACCTATAATTATGGACAGTGTTATACTAACATAATTCCTAAAATATGTGCTCACTCATGTGGTGTTTAGGTAGTCTTCTAACGCAAGACAGCTCTCATGACTATTTAAAAGATATTTCTCCATCCAAGTAGTTGGAACGTCAGCCTCTTCTACAAAGCATTTTAAACACATTGTGGGGAAATAATTGGTTTTTTAGGCAGTGGGGTAAACAGACCCTGGGCAGAACCCATTTCAAAAGTTCATCTCCTCAGCTCTACAACTGGGGAAATCAAGGTGAGAAACGGGGGTCAGGGAGCAAACTGTCACAAGCCATTCCTATGCCTCATGTTGATACCTTTTTTAAAAATAAACTTCACTTCTTGCAGGCAGACTATTTATACTACTTGCAAATACTATATTGTTTATAGCAGGACATGTAAATATGTATATTTTAACAGAGAAAAACTAAACCTGCTATACATTTGATTAACTTCTACAACTCGTGTAATGATTTAATCCCTTAAAATACACAGGATTATACACTTAGTGGCCTAAGATCCCCAGGAGCCAAAGCTTTAGCTTTAATTAAGTGGATCTGTCATCGGTTTTCTAATACCCACATGTAAAATCACACAGACGTTGAAGAGCTGCTTTAACTGCACAGATTTAGGCTGCGTGGTCGGCTCTGCCCCACTCCTGGGTGCATGGAGCCGGCCAGCACCCAGGGAAGCTGTGACATCCCTTTGTGGCTTGCTGAAGTGGCTACAGGAGAGTCTCGTGCTCAGCCGTGTCCCCAGGCTCCAGCACCGTGCCCTGTTTCTGTACAAGCCGCCAACGACAGCCAGGTGGTGTCCAGGGCCCATCGCTGCTGGGGCACTGGGCACCAATCCTGCAGCACCCAGGGTTCTTACTCTGAGGAATGAACATGCTGTGAAATGACTTCAGATCACCTTGGAGGATCCAAATCCACCATCGCAACAGGAAACACTTTTGAGGGCAAAATGACCTAAAAACTCAAAACCCTGGGGCTTTGTTCAGACACTTCTCTGTCACCATTTCTCATTACAAAAATGAGGGAAAAAAAAGGAAGAAAATACATTTTCCATGATCGGACTTATTAGATTCGCAAGGATGAAGAAAAAGATGACAAAAATTTCTCCAGGCAGCTTTATATTTGTTCCTCTCACCTACAAGTATCTCCTGTCCTGCAGCCAGTAACTTTCCCAGCAGCAAGGCTGGGGACATGGGAGGATTCCTGCAATTCATACAGAAGAGCACAGACCTTGCTGTCACAAATGGGGAGCGACTTTGTCCCAGGGATACACTTTTATCTCCAATGTGTATTTTTTAGATGAGGTCCATCTTAAATGACAGAAAAAGAAAAAAGATCCCTGGTCCTGAGCACTTACTGTCACACTGGGAAGCATCACAAATAATTGAACCTGAGGACATCCTGGAAATAAAGCTGTTAGCAAAATCCCAAGTTTATCCAAGCAGATAATTTACCTTTCTTCCCTGCTGCATCCGCGCTGCAAGTCTCTGGGACACTGAGGTTTCTGTGCTTTGCTAAATAGGCACCAACATACGTGAAGCCAGGTCTGAAACACAGCACCCCCCTCTCCTGCTACCCAGTCTAGTAAATTTGCAATATCCATTCACTTGTACTGTACAAAAGAAAGCAATAACATCATTTTGCCCCACTTGTCCCTCTCCATTTCTCTAATTAATCAACACCCTCCTGACAACTTCTCATCACACATTAAGGAGGGTTTGTTAAACCTAAAGCTCCAGTGTTATCAGGGTGGGAACTTTTTTCCACTGTGTTTTGTTTTTATCTTCAAAGCTCTGGAAGGAGTCCTTCTCAGAGGGAAAGTCTGTGCAGAGTTACCTGTGAGGAGCCTGGGCCCCATGGAGAAATGGTGGCCAGCAGAGAGAGGAGGCAGTGTCTTGGCTGCAATAACAATCTTTCTTTGAAAGTGAAAAAAACAGGGCAGGGCAATGCACCAGCAATATCTTTACTTTTTTAAGGAAACCTCCCCCTTAAACCCAAAGGATTTGCTGCTGCCTTACGTGTGCCCCGCTCCACAGCATCTCTGGGAGCTTTGTAGATGTTGGCACATTTTATCTGTTCAAGTGTTTGGGACACAAAAGATAAAGATGATATTCTTCATGGTGCACAGTGACCTTTGATAGCACTTCCATATCTTAATCAGGTCTAGCCTGTGCAAAATTGAAGTAATTCTTTAAATAAAGGTAGCACCTACCTTACCGTCCCCGGACATGCGGCCAGGGACTCAGGGTTTGTGGAAAGTGTGGCAGGTGCCAACAAAGCAGAGGATTAGCTGTGTTTGAGCGCAAAGGTCCAACTGAAGGGAAATATTCCAGTTTATACCCTGGGGGAAAACCAGGTTTGACGTTTAATGCAGCAAATCAAGATGTAAACTGAGTTGCAAAAAACCAACTGCCACTCAGAGTGGGTTTGCTCTTGCACAGAGATGCTCAGCGGGTCGTTTGGCTCCTCAGGCAGGCGGGACATGGCACCTGTGCTGCTGGTCTGTCAGCCCACTTCTCACTTGATCCAACGGGATGTGAGGAAAAAGCCGCTGGGGAAGGGGCTGGAAGCCCTCCCTCGGCGCTGGGGCACACCGACAGCCCGCCATCTCACCTCCTGGCAGAGCCGCTCGTGAGGAAGCCATTACGCTGCTGCCCTGGGGGCGGTGAGGGGAAGGAGGGCCCTGAGGGGAAGGCCCTGAGGGGAAGGCCCTGAGGGGAAGGCCCTGAGGGGAAGGCCGCCACCCACGGCACACCCCAGCCCGAAGGGGCCTCGCCGGGGCACCACTGCAGTCAGAACAGATTTGGGTGAAGTCTCCAGGTTTCTGTGACGCCCCTTCGACCAGCTCCTCCTCAGCTCCCTCTTGGTCAGGGCACAGCACGAAGAAATTACACTGATGATAAAACTGTGTCATCTGGATGTTTATTTTTTGCGTTTGACAGACTAGATCATAGCTTGTAACACTAAAGTGCCTACAGAGTTAACCTAAGCCTAAATTGAAATTAGTCACCAGTGTGCCAAGTTGTGTCCAACAGCCTTTTTTTATTAAACCATTATAGCAAACACCGTTCAACATATAGAAAGAAAGCATATAATAAAAATCAACATGGAAGTTGTACCCTTTGACATGAGTCTATTCCCTACTTAATGACTTACAGTAGAAATTAGTTACTTAGGTCTACAGTGACTTTAGTGTAAGGGGCAGAGGTTTGGGAAAAGTTACGACAATCATCTGGGTGAGACACATCCAGCTCCGCCATCAGCCAAAGACGCTCTTGGCCGGCGCTTCTTTCGGTTTCTCAAAGACTGTTTCACCCCCTGTCCGATCCCGGCTGAATACGGAGGGTGCTGCAGAGCCCATTTGTTCTTGGAAAAGAAAACCAGGAGAGGCAATCAGTGAAGTAGGACACCAGATTTGGGGAGTAAAACTAGTGCTGCTGAAATACATATGTACACATTTGATAAATATTTCATCTGTCCACCAACTTCCCAAACCTTAAAGCACAGCGCTCCCACCCCAAGCATGGGACACCTATAGGTGGTCGCTGCCATTGACTGGCCCCAAATCCATGCAGGTGCTTTAGAAACTTGGAAACTACTGAGGTCCAGGCTGTTATGCTGAAAAGGGGTTAAAATTCATCATTTTTTCTTATACTCTCCCACTGGTGATGGAAAAGCAACACAAAACCAGAGTACCAGGGGTGTTCAGTGCAACAGCCACTCTCTTCTCTCTCACCTTCTGCCCTTTATCCCCCCCCAATTTCTGCTGCATCTCAAACACATCAAATTCATCCAGTTGAGAGGCCAGAAATCCCCTAATCTAAGACCAAACCTCCAATCTTCAACCTGGGCACTGACATTGACTATGGGCCCAGGGCTTGGTTTGAACCCTGGTTCAGAAGGCAAAGTCAGGGCTCTCCCTCCCGCTTTGTCCAGGCAGGGAGAACGATCGCTCCAAGCAGAGCCCTGCTGGCACCTCTTGGTGCCGTCAAGGGGATGGATGCCAAGTCCCTGCACAGCCAGGCCCGGGTCGGCAAGCGCGCTGCTGGCTGCTCTTTCAGAGGCGCACCCTTTCACTCGGAAAGAGCAATTAAGTCGATGTTTTACTTTGGAAGACTGCTTAGTCGTTTCCATCAAGGAGACTTACCACACTGCTTCATCACTTGGTAGGTTTTGGATTTAATTTCCTGATTTTTGGAAAGGTTTCCTCTGGCTCCTTTGAGGTCTTCTTCCTTCACTGGAGGACGCTTCTTTTTCACAGGGGCTGGCTAAGAAACAGATGTATTGCCCACCCATCAGTATTTTGTGTTTAGAAGCATAGGGAACAAAGCTGCCTTAACATACAGAGGTTGCTAACACAATATTCTGCCTATTTCAATTCTGAGACTGCACACTCAGCTACTCCAGATCTTTGCACAACCATGGTTTCACTGCTCTTCCCAAAATCTGTTGCCACTATTACTGTTCCATTCTGAAATTGTCTTCTAATTGTACAGCCTTTGAAAGAGACAGTGGATTGTGTAATTTTTTTTTTTTTTTTTTTTAAATTTACTTTTAAATTTTCTCTGTCCAGTCCTGCCTGGCCTTTTCTGCAAGTACAGACTGGTAATTCAAGAATCTGTCCTGTGTTTGGGAAGGAAAATAAATTCATTACTAAATTGTGCTTGTGCCTCAGTCTACTCACTACTTCTTTAGGAAATTGGTCAGAGATTCTGAAATCTGGCTTGATTTAGCTGGAATAAACTTAACACTTGACCCATAGTTATTGATCTTAAATTTCGGAAACAAAAGTATCTGAGCACTCAACAGGCTGTCTACAAGCGTGTACTGAACACACCTGAAACACTGGAGTCAGAACCCAAAGAAGGAGAAGGAAATCTAATACAGAAACAGATGCATCATCAAGTGGTGCACTGGAACATCCAAGTACTAATCTGTTTACAGTTTATCTTACTAGAAGAAAATCAGGGTAATATGGGATCGTATCAGCCTATCCCTACCTTTAAACCAGCACTTCAAAGTCAGACAATGTCAATCAGCAGCAGTCAGCACCATTAACATTCCCTCTTCAGTTTACTATTTCAAGGACCAATTGCCAAGGTCCCACCAGGCAGACCTCGCGGCAGGGTGCAGGCGCACAGGAGATGTGATTAAAAAGAGTAAAAGACCCACACACTCCAACTCTAACGGATTTGTACACTGAACCATCAACAAGAAACTTCTCTGACTGTCGCTACATACGTGGGGCTTTTAATATTTGGGTTTTGGCAGTCGTGGAGCCCCCTTGTACGTTTCTAGGCCACTGCCTGTAAAGCTAAAAACAGTTGTGGAGGGAAACAAATCCCTCAAGGCCTGCGAATGGCTGGAGCAGCGAGAGCCAGGGGGCTTGCAGAGACAGCGCGCTGCATGCCTGGCTCTGGGCAGGGACGGGCTGGCTGCACTGGAGCCTTCGGCATGTTTCCTGCTGGCTGTAAATTCCCAGGAACGCTCAGAATAGCTCGCTGTCAATCCCACTCGCATGTGTTGTGGGAAACAAAACATTCACAAGACCTCTGGGGAAAACACTCTACGAGTAGCCAAAGCAAGCAAGGGGAAAGGGTGGTAGCAAACCCTTCAAGATCCTCAACAGCTTTTGTTCAGTTAGCTGGTTAACCAAACATCCCAACAGCCAGGGTTTCATTTGTTCACCTGTGATGAAAATTGGCATGTGATGGGAACAGTCCCCCAAGGTCCACAGGCAACCAATACAGACCGGTGTTGGCTCCAACACAGAAAGGGAACCCCCCCTTGTTTTGTTAACAGGAATATGAAACCTGCTAAGGTCCTTCACTCATTATTGGCAAGAGACAACAACTGTAAGGCTTCTTTCCGCCGGGACAAGGGACTTCTTGGGGATGGGGTAAGGAAAGGAGGCACTTGAGATGCACCGAGACACAACCAGGTTGAGCAGAACTGTTGAATTTCACCCAGTTATTTTAAAATGAAACCTCTCATGCTTTGATTACAGGTGGAATTTCCAGCAGGACAGCTGCTGTGGATTAGCTGGCCCCCAGCTAAAATGCAAAGATGCCACACGGAAAGGTTACTGTCAGCCACCGAGGTGAGCCCTGGACCTGCCAGCACCAGCAGCTGCCACCGTGGCAGCCGCACGCTGTTAATCGCTCCCAGCGCAAGTGCGTTTGTAAGCAGGGTTTGCCAGAGCCATCCCCAGCTGGCACAGCAGTGCAGCCTGCGCTTTATCTCCTCCTGTCATGAGTCAAAAAGTATTGGTTTACAAGACACATGATTGTCTTTTTTTCTTCGGAGTAAAGAAAATAAGCCGAACCGAGTTACTCTGTGTGGTCGAAGGATTGTGCTCTTCTATCCGCCCCATGTTCTAACTCTCCATCCCATCCACCATGTAAAACTCTCATGCTGCGGAAAACTGCCAGGCACACATAGCTTGTGTTGAAAACAGAACACTTACGTGAAAAACAACATTTCTGAGCTAATTTTAAGATCACTTTGAAACACTGATTGTTGGGTAACACAGTAAAGACAAACCATTAGTTACAAAATGAACATAAAAGTGTGTAACACAAAATTTCAGTCTCAGATATCATATCCTAAGAGTTACAATTTTCAGTCATGCACTCTCTTTTCCTGCAGGTTACTACATGAAGCTTTTACACAGCAGCACACTTTATAATATATAAACAGAGCATTTAAATACTTCAACATAATCAAGCAAGTCACATAGAGCAGAAAAGCCAAATTCACTGGTTAACAAGAGTAACTTGCTAAAAAGCTATTCCAAGCAAACCATCTAAACCAGTAACATTTGTCGGGCACCCTGCTCCGACGAGAGCCAGCCTCATACAGATCTCCCCGTACCTGTGACATAACTGCGGTGCTCACTCGACTGTAATCCCTTCCGAGGTCGTTTCCCGGCTTTGATTAAATCCAGCCTGTGCGCTCTGCGAAAGCCTGTTTTTTTCCTCGACTTATATAGAGCACCTAACATGAAGTCATTAGCTGGGTCATTTTCCCAAACCAGAACCCAGGATTCAGGTTGACAGAGGCTGTTGTTGTTGAAAGGTTTATTCTTAGCGATGACTAGGGTTTGCAGCATTCACTGCGCCCTGCGCCTGGGGACTGACGAGAGCAGACAGCTGTGGCAGCGGGACCGCGGGGAAGCCCGATCACTACATAACGACTTCCCGGGGAGCCCAGTGGGGCTTTATTTGTAACTTTAAAAGGCAAAACTTTGTGATGGACACAAAAGAGACTCTGAATTCTCTTGATGAGAGAAAAGAAAAAGACAGGGTGTGTCTGTCTTTCCCAGTGTAACAAAATACGCATTCGCTAAAGATTATATAAACCTAACATCTGAAGCACAACATTGTGCCCTAAATCGCTTTTTCACAGGGATCTTTCACAGAAGTGTATTTTGTGTGTTTTGGAGAGTTAATAAAATAGGATATGGTTTTACCCTTACAGTCCTATTGCTGAGCTTGCTCTGATGCTGGCTCTTACACAACTGAGAGGGTAAAATCACTTTCTACTCACAGCAGTATTAGTAAGTTTAATCATTTCACCTGTCATCTGTATAGGAATAGCTTACTCAGACATGAATAAATTCAGTGTTCCCCACTGTACCTGCTGACAGCAGTAAAACCTTTTCCAGAACTTTTAAGATTTGTTCTCTAAACAATTTTTTAATTAAATAGAAAAAAAATAAGCTCTAAGGATGAATTCTAATATTTATTACCAGAAGAGGGCTGGGTGGGGGGTTGTTTCCCTCTTTTTTTTTTTTTTTTTTTTTTTTTACATTAATTCTTCGCATCATGCAAAAAAAAAAGAAAATCAGCCTCTGTGACTGCACTCAACACCTACAAAGACCCAAAACTCCAGCCAGATATGTTAATACGAGGAAGGCAGATATGGCAGACCTCCAAACATCTTTTACTAGAAACATCGACTGCTGTAGTGATAGAAATCTGTCCTGGCCTTTTCTCAAGCTCCACCTGTTTTGTTTAGGCTACAGAGAGAAGCACAGGAGGTAAAATAAAATAGCTATATTTCACTATGGAAACATTACATCAGTACTACAGCACTAGCGCCATACGATCAGGACTACGGGATTTGTCAGGTGTCAACTATCCCCCAGGCCTCCGGGTGCCCATTTTGCCTTTAAGTTGAATTCTTTCCAGGCCTGAGAAGATGCTTTCCTTTACGTGACTACTAGGGGAATTATTTGTTGGTTAAGCAGCAGTTTGAATGTTACGTACTTAGCCATTCCTCATGTTGAATTTCTATTTTAAACCCACAGCTTAGTAGACTAGAGGAAATGTTTCTGTGGAACAGCAGTACCTATCAGTAGCTTAACAACGCAGAAGAAAAAGCCATCAATTTTAGGAAAAATACAATTTTTTTTTCTATTGTACAAAGTAACTGCTCCCACCAAGATAGGAAGGGTTGATAGCAACAGCAGCTCACCAAGAACAGGATTTCTGCTCTATTCTGGCATAAAGGTATCAACCTCTTGCCATTTGCAGCCTTTAAAAAAAAAAAAATTGATCACCTGCATATGGTCATGTTACAGCCTCACAGTGAGCCAGCTCTTGTCCTACCTTGTCCTCCATTCCTCCAGCACTCTGGAAAACTGATGATAGACACCTTACCATACCTACAGGGAACCGGGAGGGTTAAGATGGCATCTTTCTGCCCAACAAAACAGAAAAAACCAAGCTAGGCTACACTCATTTTGTTGGGTATAATAAGGGAAGTCCAAGTGCTTGCTGCAGACACTTTGGCAATCAAAGAAGCTGCTTCCCTGGAGCTTAAGAGGCAACCCTGCACTACATAGATAGCATGTAGGAGTGATGTCTTCATCACACAGAAAAGAATCAGCACTGCTTCCCCCTTCCCCTTTTGCATGGTTTTGGGAAGTAGCAGAGATTAAAGTAAGCAAGGAAGACATTGGTCATCTCCAGCAGGTTGCCCTCTGGGGACAGGGGTCAGAGAGGCTACTTGGTCCTAGAACTAGACATCCCAACGTGGCCCTTTTCTGCCTCCGAGGAGGTACTACATGAGTTCTGTGATACAAGGCACTGCACAAGCAAACTTCTCAACAGGCTCCTCAGACATCTTCCCTCAGCTTGCATTTCTGCTACCTGCTGCAAACAAATCAGAAGGGGAACAGAAGATAAAACAGGTTAACAAGTTATTGAATTAGGCCATGCCTCTGCCAAGGGGCAGGACATTCGAGGTAAATTCAGAAACTTCTAAGTTTACACATTCATGTTGCAAATGACCAAAAGGTCTGGCTTTGCTTGAACAGGCTGTGATAATCAGCTGTGTGATTAAAGCACTTTAACAACATCCTACACTCCAGAAGGCCTCAGGTCAGTGTTCTGCAATCTCAGGAGCTCTCAGGTTGCACAAAGGTTTTCTTTTCAATATGAAAATACAGATAGTTATTCTCCACGTGTGCACACGCAGAGGGCAAAAACCCTCCTCAGGGAACAGATCCAAGAGGAGCTTGCAAGGATTCTTACAGCCATAAACAAAATTTGCTACTTAAGAAGAGTGGTCCCTCCAACTGAAATGGGACTTGCTATTAAGGTAAATGAATATACTGAAATTAGTACCAACATGAGAGTGCAAAAAATTAGATCTGCAGTTCTGAAGTTAAACTCCAGTAGCAAAACCTGCTTCTCACAACAGCACATTATTAACATTGAAACACGCACACTTTTAAACAGAACAAGTATAAAACAAGTGTACAAATCTGTAATAAGTCAAACTTTATTGTAAACCATTATACAATGTAATTACATCAGATACCCTTAAAAGTTTAAGGTAACACCACTGATTAAACAATATGGTCCAAACAGAGGGCAGCAGAATACAGCTGTTGGTTTTGCTCACATAGGCTATACTCTGAATTTACTTACAAACAAACCCAACATTCAGTTTGAGACGGATACCCACGCAAGACAAAAACACCTACAAAAGAGTCCCTTTTTTAAAGATACTGCAGTTTTACTTTGTAAAACCATAGTAGTCATTTTCAGTAATTGAACTGGAAACTTTACCTAAAAAAGTTTGCACGCCTATGCTGTAGATCTACTCTGACTTGATGTGGCTGAATTTATTCGCTTTCGTTACTGGTTTCTCCTGTAAAAAGCACAGCGAAGTTGCAAACATGGGTTAGTCAAGCACAGTGGCAGAAATTCCTTGTGATGCTCAGCTCTCAGCAGAGCGTGAGAGCCCACGCCTCCCTCCCCAGGCACAGCTGGAATGGGAGCAGACACCCACCGGAGGGGATCACTTTGCATTGCTCTAATTTGCAACTCAATTTCTGAGTTTTCCCTGAAGAAAAGCTATAGTACATTTTAGTTAGCAATGTTAACATACAGCATTTACCTACTTAAAGTAAGACAAGGGGACCTGAACATATTAAAGCCAGAACTTGAAAACCACGTATTAGACAACACCAGTGTTTTAAGTTTATGCAGATGTGTCACAGGTTGGATACTAGAAACAGTTAATACATTTAGGTTGACCACGCGTGGTAAATTTGATCTCCACCAATACTTCTGAGTCTCTTCTCTAAGTTACAATCCCTTTCTCTTACTTTGGCATATACTACACAGCTTATTTTCATTAAAAAGAATCACATTTTTTTAAGCACGGCCTGAATTAAACCTTTGCTATGAGTTGTCCTGAAGTACGTTTACCAGGCATAAATTTAGAGCGCCAATTTGAGGATAATGCAAACATCGTCACATTGTAATATTATTACTGGATCAACTCTTTATGAAAAATTTATTTCAGACTGTACTGCCAATACATTTCAACGAATAGTAAGACATAGTGAAGCACTAGGCACATACTTCCTTCTCACACATACAAGCTCTTCAGACAAGAGCACTTGTCCTACTTGTACCTACTGCATCAATTCCAGTTTTTATCTTACAAAGAGGAAAACCATCAGTTTTACATTTTCTATCTCTTTTCACATGACAAAAAAGAATGAATAGAAAAAAACCCCAGTTTTTGTTATTTGGCTAAGGTTGTGAATAGAATTATTATCTTAGTAGAGAAAGTTAGAGCTGTTTTTTCCCCTCTGAAGATACGCCCTCCTGTTACTACTGTGGTATTTAAAATACTTCTGTCTCTTTGGCTCATAGTGCTTTACTACATCATCTTGCTAGGCATATCAAAATCTCAAACCAAGTGACATTTAAGCACCTAAGACATGAAAAATTAGGCATTCATATACCTTTGCTATAACCATCTTCAAGAAACTGCTCCATAGTTCTTTACACTGTTTTGTACTTGGTCAATAAGTTTGAGGTCTGCTCAAAACAAATATTTTTACATGATTAAGGCCATAATTTTATACTGACACATCACAGACTAAACATGAGACTAGAAATAGAAATAATTTTGATAATTTAAGTAACTGGAGGAGGGAAAAGGAAGATAAAATGAAAGCTCATACATTTAAATTTGTGTGCGCTGCTCAGTTATCTCTGATGGTTGACGAGGACAGTGATGGCTGTGCAGTGGTATGTAGCACATGCTGAATAGCTTTATTTCACTATCTGAAATAGAACAAATCCTATGCTAAAAAAATAAATGCTGACATTTGTGACAAGAGCCAGTCCTAGCTCTTAAATCCCTTTGGAAAAACGAGCTGTATGAAACTATTCTGTTGATGAAAATGTATTCCTTGAAGTACTGTGCTTTCGGAGATATGCGTCCGCCCAGTGGTAAATAGTCAAGACAGACGCAAGTCACACAATCAATGAAAAAAAACCAAAAAACCTAAAACAGAGGCAACACTGATTAGGGACATTTCCCCATCCCCCCACCCCCCATTTCAGAATAACTCAATTAAGCTTCCATTGTCAT